ATTTTAGCTCTTACAGTCAGGTCTGAGGTGCAGTGCACAATTCTTAAGCACCTAAGACATTCCAATATAATGTAATATACAAAGCATCCACTGCAACAAAGCACTGTCTTTTAAAAAAATTATTTATTTTTTTACTTCTGTGCCCTTGTTCAAGGAGCATTAACTGCTGAATGTTTTCTTGCCTTAAGTTCTCCTTGAAAAATTACTACCCAAGCTAAGTATGGTGGTATATGTCTATAATCTCAGTACCCAGGAGGCTGAGGCAGGAAGATTACAAGGTGCAGACCAGCCTGAGCTACACTGTGAGACCCTGTTTCCAAAATAAGTAAGCAAGCACACATGTAATCAAACAAACAAATAGAAAATATTACCTGGCTCTAATTTCAACTCCTATCAAAGAAGAGTGACACAATACCACCTCTACTTTCCAAACATTGTCTTATAGAAATTTAAGTTACATTCTAATTAATGCCACCATCATTAGAACAGTGTACATGAAACCAATAACCACAAGGACATGTTTCAAATCATCTAAAAGGAACTGTTCTAATAATGCCATAATTTCATTTTTTGAGTATGCCAATATCTGTAAGGTAATTGTTCCCATATTTCATGAATGTTCTCTACCCTAACCCAGTCATGAGTTAAAAAGTAAACACTGCTGGCTGGGCACTGTTGGCTTATGTCTGTGATCCTTGCTACTCAGGAGGCTGAGATCTAAGAGTCATGGTTTGAAGCCAGCCCAGCAAGAAAGTCTGTGAGACTCTTATTTCCAGTTAATCACAAACCAGAAGTGAGCCACAGGGCTCCAGTGGTAGATCACTAGATCAGGAACAGTGCTTAGGCCCAGAGTTCAAGCCCTAGGACCAGCAAAACAACAACAACTACAACAAAAGTACATATTAACAAGAAGCCCTGAAAAGAGTGTAAAACAAATAAGAGGAACAAATGGGAAAAAAAATCTGGTGTTATAAGTTTAAATTTGCTCATTGTATGGAAACATTTCTGAAGAAACTAAATGTCTAAAAGCAGATATAGTAGTTATAAACAAGACATAAAGGATTATCAGTAAGAGCCATCAATTCAAAAGATGAGACAAATGATGTATTCAAAGGTTAGTGGTATGTTAGTGTTTCATACAGAATGACAAATTTCATATAGAATGACAAATTTTTTTATTATTTAGTAAGTTAAGATCAAATCATATCAAGAAGTTGAATAATCTGTTCTATTTATATTGAACTAAAAGGAAGAAATGCTACAGCTACCTTCAATATGAAAAAAATCAATTTGACATACAAATTATGTAGTAAGTGAAAAGGAAATTTAATAAGTTATCAGAAAAATCGCCCATTTCCACTGTATGTAAGAAACAAATCTTTGACTAGAAAATGGTCAAACAGTCCTAATTGCATATTACACAGGTATGACTGAGTCTAAGCCTTTGTTCTAAGTAGGGCACTTCCAAAGAGTGCTTACATGCTGAGCTGGGCTTCATCCTTATCAGTTAAATGGTTAATATATAGTCTAATCTTTTAGACTAGAATATGAAAATCTCTGTATTTTTCAAGTGCACTCAGTTCTACTGGCAGAACAATAGTTACAGAATACAAGACAGCATGTATTTGTGTATGTAATAGATTGAATATTCCAATGGCACTCAAATACTGTGGTCTCAATATACCTTTATACTCTTAAAAAATCAGTGATACTTTCCAAAAGCTGTTTTCATGTGGATTACATGCATTGTACTTAGTATATTAGAAATTAAAACAAAGAAAAACTCAAAACAATCCATGTTCATATTTTAGTAGCTGTCAGTGCCTTAACTATTACTTATTATGTGGCCTCTGAACAAACCCATGCCCAATTATGACAGAAAAAGTAAAAAAGGCTGAAAAGCCTTGGACTCTATACTTATACAGGCTGGGAGCACTGCACTTGTTGTCCCTGAGCGCACACTACCATTTGAGCCTAGAGGTCCATTTCTGGCTTGGAAATTAATTGGAGATAAGAGTCTCACAGACTTTGCTGCCAAGGCTGGCTTTGAACTGCAATCCTTAGATCTCAGCCTCTTGAGTAGCTAGGATTAAAGGCATAAGCCACTAGTACGTGGCTAAACATTTTCTTAATAAATTTAGAAATCTCTAGGTAGTCCTAGAGTACTCCGTACTATAATAGTGAGAAGAAAAACATATCCTTTGAAGCCTTTATTCACACTCTTTGCTGTATGGTTTATTCAATCTTGATATTGAAAATGTACACCTGGGAATCTACTGCTACCTTAAGACCTTTTCCTTGTCCATCTTTTATAAACAAGTGGTCTAGGTCACAGAATTTTATGTGGTTGTTGGCAGATAAAAATTCTGAAGAATAAAATAAGGAGGAGCAAGAATTTTCCTGGTAAGTGACTAATTGAAAAGGGAATGTTGAGAATGTTTTAAAAAATGTCAATCACTCAAACACGGTGCTTTGAGCAATAAAGCAAGAAGTTAGCATGAACAGAAAGACACATTGCAGTGCTTATTTTAAAGGTTCTCATTTTCTGTAACTACCTTTCAGATCTGAGGTAGAGGGAGTGTGTCAGTTATCGTCACTGCTATCGAATTGGTGCAAACCATTCTTCTGCAGTTAACTTTGAGGAAAGGCAGCAAGACTATTTAAAAAATGTTGTGATTTGAAAAGTCTCATACACAAATGTCAAAGTAAAGATTGTCAGTGACAGATTCTAAACAGAACTTTGCCAGTGTGCTAGGAAGCAGATGCTTTAAGAAATTCATTTTTACTCTGTAGAAATTTCACAAAGAAATCAGTGACTCTAGAAACTGTAAAGTTCTGTCCTATCATTGAATAGTCACATCCATGGTTGGCAAATATGATTCAATATGATTTATTTCCTCTGAAATATCAATCTTATGGATTTCCAACTAAAGGGAAGTGCATCAAAGTCAACTTAAGGGCTGCTACATGAATTCAACGCATTTTAAAGAGTAATAGACAAGACTAATGAATGCATAAATCAAGTATGTAAAAATAATAAAACATACACAGATGATTTAGTTCATTTTTTTGTCAGTCACAGACTTGAACTCTGGGTCTAGGCACTGTCCCTAAGCTGTTTAGCTCAAAGCCAGCACTCTACCACTTGAGCCACAGTGCCACTTCCAGTTTTCTGGTGGTTAACTGGAGATAAGAGTCTTGTGGACTTTCCTGCCTGGGCTGGTTTGAACTGCAATCCTCAGATCTCAGCCTTCTGAGTAGCTAGAATTACAGGCGTGACCCACCAGTGCCCAGCTCAATTCTTTTTTTTTTTTTTTTTGGTACGTTTTTTATTGTAAAAATGCTGTAGAGGGGTTACAGTTCCAGCTCAATTCTTATAAACATAATTCTGTAGTACTATCCTGACCTTGTCTGAGGAGCTATCAGAAAAAGGTATTTTTCTTATTATAAATCAAGGCAAGTAGAAAAGTAAGTTAGCTGTTCAACTAATTTAAAAAATATTTGGAATATTCACCTTAGCAAGAATATCTTACGTGATACTTTTTGGACGTCTAAACTAAATGTCTTAATGGGATGACAGGTAAAATAACAATGTGTGGAGATGTGTACATGGACACACACACACACAATAAATGAAAGAGAGGAAAAATAGCATCAGTCAGGTTGTGGTTGCACATAGCTATCTTTGTTTATCAGTGACTGATATCCGGTCTCAGTGCTGTTCCCACAGTCCCATATCAGTACTACCATTTAGAAATAAAACAAACCACAGGAAACACACAAAACAGCTCTTTAACTGTCTGGTATGCACCGCCACTTCAAACTCAGAATTTAACAATTCTCTAATAAAGTTTTTAAATATCAACCTGTCAAGTCGTCTGGCAATTTAAGGAGGTCCTTATTAGAACTGAATGAACTTTCATGGTTTATAACCTGATAATTCTTAGCTTCTCCATCTAAGCAATGTTCTAAAAGTTAAGAACGTCAAGATAGTGGCACTTCCCTAAAGGGACTCATAATGTCTTCTCCCTATCACAGTGCACCTGTGTGCTACTCTACTACATTCTGTGGGCTTCTACAAGGCAAGGTGGTGATAAGCTCTTCATCTTTAAAGTGGATGGAACAAAGACCATTGGATTCTCCTTCCCAGGAACTAAGAGTTGGGACTTGGAAGACTGGATCATTTTGCTAAAGCCATTAAATTAACAAGGATGTTACAGGTTGGTGAAAGAATGGGAAGTGTCAAAGTTGCTATCTCATGTCCATGTGAGCAAACAAGAGAAATGAGTCAGTAGAAATCAGCAGAAGGAGGGCTGGGAAGGTGGCTCAGTGGTAGAGCACTTGCCTTGCATGCATGAGGCCCTGGGTTTGATTCCTCGGCACCACATAAGCAAAAAAAAAAAAAAGCCGGAAGTTGCACTATGGCTCAAGTGGTAGAGCGCTAGCCTTGAGCTGAAGAGCTGAGGGATAGCGCCCAGGCCCAGAGTTCAGGCCCCATGACCGGACCCCCCCGCCAAAAAAAAAAAAAAAGAAATCAGCAGAAGGATAAAGCATAAGCAAAATAGACAGAGATCAGAAATGACACAACTCTTAGTAACAGCATATGCCTAAAACCAATGGCTTTTAAATTTCAAGTTCTAAAAAAAAAAACAAAGAAAAATAAAGAAATTCAGGTGTACTCTCCTAGCCCATGAAAACCAGACAGAAACCTTTGTATATACTTTCTATAACCCTCCTTTCATTTTTGTGTTTAACATAGAGTGGGTTTCTAGATTTGATATTAGGATCTGTAATTATTATCCATCATTGGCATGGGGTTGATTATCTCCAACCATCTGACAATAATAAAATGATTTTTCCTTTCATTTGAGACCTCATTCCTTTATTTGAATATGAGCAGTATCTAAGGGCATAAATTTTCAGAACAGAGAGAAATTGCTATTTATAAATTTTACAATGAAAGAAAACCTTTTTATAGATAAGAAAAGGTAAATACTTACATAATCTGGTAGAGGAACATCATTTGAACTTAAGGAACCTCTCAAGGACTGGGTGGCTTGTTCCAGAACTTTGTTGTGTTTTTTAGATAGCAAAGAAAACAAGCTGCAAAAAAGAGAAATACAATTATATTATTAAGAGAACTAAGTGCTTCTTTTTCTAGGTATAATACAAGAATTAGGGCTCCACTGTATCTAATGAATAAAGAATTTCTCTTGGGGTTAAAAATAAAGGCAATCCTGATTTCATGTACTTTCCATATAAATTTGAGGTAGGACCCACAGTCTCTAAAATTGTTTAAATATCTATTTATCTTTGTGTTGATATTGGGTTGAATTGAGGGCCTTGCAGTCTCACTTGGCTGTATTGTTCAATAGTGGTACCATAACATTTGAACCACACCTCCACTTATGGCATTTTGCTAGCTAATTGGGGATAAGAGTTCTAACAAACTTTTCTGTCTGGACTGGCTTTGAACCTTGATCCTCAGCCTCCTGTGTAGCTAGAATTGTAGGAATAAAACATCAACACTCAACCCACAGTATTTTTGTTGTTGTTGGTGGTGGTGGTCCCTGAACTCAGTGCCTGGATGCTGTCCCTGAGCCTCTTTGTGCTCAAGGCTAGTGTTCCACCACTTGAGCCACAGCACCAATTCTGGCTTTTCTTTTTGGGGGGGGGGGTAGTTTATTAGAGATTAGAGTCTCACAAATTTTCCTTTTGGGGCTAGCTTTGAACTACAACCCTTAGATCTCAGTGTCTTAAGTAGCTAGGATTGTAAGCATGAGATACTGGTGCCCAGTTATTTATATATTATAAATAGCACTATAGTGAACACTCTTGAACATAATTTTTAGCATAACCAAGTGAAATTACTAATAAATTTCTCAAAGTACTAGGATTAAGTAAAAGAGTAACTCAATTGCATTCAGGACATGTATTTTAAAATATGCAAAGTATTTTGCAGGAGACACAAAGGAAACTAATACTGGGATTACGTATAAGCCATGTTCACATGCATAAAGAAGAAAGCAAAATCATTCTAATTATAGTACAGTTTCAGGATAAATGAAAATTGAGGCTAAATGATGTTTGGCAATCAATTGTAGCATAGGAAACAGAAGGACTAGGAGACATAAACTGGATGCCACTAAAAAGGAACAATAAAAGTGTGTAAAAAAAGAGATCTTGTTGTTAGTAAGAAGAAAAGAGGCAAGGGAAAGTAGAGAGAAACAAAGTTGTGAAACTTAAGTTTACACAAAAGTAAAACCTTGGGCTGGCTTTCTTTGTAAGTTCACCAAACTTGAGTTCATTCTCATCCTTCCCTTCTCTCCTCCTCTATTTTATACCTCCACGGAGCAATAGAAGCTATGGTAACTTTCACCATTAATGTAAGAAAATTACTGAGCAAGCTCTAGAAACCAGAGCAAAATCCACTTGACCTTGTTTTTTTTTTTTTAAACTACTTTGTTTACTTTAAAAAAGAGTTCTTGCAATCTGTTTTCTTTGTTAGTAAGAGACCAAACAAGGAAGTGAGCCTGAATTCAAATATATAGTGTTTCAGTTGAACCTGATGGAAAATTTCAAAAATTAAGTGGAACAAAATGTTGAAACATTACAACAGGTCCTAGCTATCTTTAAGTCTGTAGCAACAGATAATTCCAGGCCACTTCCAACTCTCCATCATAAATGAGAAGCAGAATTTACACTTATTCCAAGTTGTTATTCTCATACAATTTAATAGACTTTTGCCTCAGATGTATAGCAAGTGCTTTCAGAGTTTGTGGGCTTTTTTCAGCATTCTAATTTTGCCTTTCATTTGGCATTTTAAGGAGAAATGACCTAAGTTTATATAAGACATGACTTGCAAATTGCTGAATGAGAAAATGAACTCATGCCTGAAGCTCTGCATTCAAAGTACTCACTCTGGCTTGGTGCTATAAGACTAAGCAATACAGACACGTGGTGTTTATATGTAAAGCCTAAGTTTGCTGATAAGAATAAGGGAAGGTGATCACCAACAGTACTTACTATTCACTCAGCTGAGATATATCTACCAGAATAATTTTTAAAATCAGGGAAAGGTTTCTCTCTGAGGACAAGAATGTTCGTTGCAAATTGGATTACCAATGAAAAAACTGAAAACAATCAAAACCATGGAATATTCAGACCATGAAATACCACACAGCAATTCAAAATGATCTAAAAGCTACATGTTAGATGGATAAATTTCAAAAATAATGTTGAGTAAAACAATAGATTCTTATAGAATATGAACATGGTGCTAATATTAATATAATGCTGTTATCTTATGAATAAAACAGCTGAACTAGGTGTGGTGACACATAATCCCAGCTATTTTTGAGGCAGAGGCATGTGGATCAGTCCAGGAAAAGTTGGGTGAGACCTATTTTGGGAACAAAATACAAAAAGTGCTGGGGTGGCTCAAGTGGTGGAGTTCTTGTCTAGTACATGTAAGGCCCTGTGTTCAATCCTTAATACCACAAAGAATAAGTAATGATATGAAATATATGAATTCATAACCCTACATTTAAGACAGTCACTGTTCTCTGAGGAAGTAGGGAAGAGAGCCGAATCAGGGAGGAAGAAATAAGGGATTTAGTGATCTCTGTCTCACTCTCTCCCCCTTCTTACCATAAAATGTTCTTTTGGTAACAGTGGATCAAAACACAGGAGACTGCTATATTATTCTATTTAATAGAGGGGATTGCTATACTACTCTACATTCGAAATGTCTGAAAATTACACATATCTTAAAAATATGATACAAACTACATGCTATTCTGAAGAAAACAAAGTTCCTAGCAAGATGGCAGTGGCTTCATGTCTATAATCCTAGCTACTCAGAAGGCTGAGATCTGGAGGATTGCATTTCAAGGCCAACCAAGATAGAAACTTCTTGAGACTCCATCTCCAAAAAAGCCAGCAAAACCAAGGCTGGGGGGCATGGCTCAAATGGTACAGTGCTAGCCTAGCAAGTGCAATGCCCTGAGTTCAAACCCCAGCATCATACAAAAAGAAAAAGAGAAAGAGTAAGTCTCTACAAAGAGGCAGCATTTTACAAGAGAAATAGCATGTAAATAGAACATGTGTGGTCAGTACAAACTGGGACATACTGAGAAGATCACAAGCTGGTACAAATGACTGCAGTTGAGGGTGCACAGATGGCAGCAGGAGATGAGACCAGAATGTAGACAGTTTGAAGACAGACTGCAAAGGGCCGCTCATGGCACATCAAAAGCCCTGGGCTTTATTCTATTCAGAGTTGAGAAGCTAATGGAAAACGATGAGAGGGACATGGTTGCTTGCCCCCAAGGAGCACAAATCTGACAGGATAAGAAAAAACAATGTCTGCAATGCTGAAATCAGAATTCTGGTGTTTGAAGCGAGTACTGTGGAGGGACAGAGGAAGGGTCGATACATTCCACAAAGGAAATCTGGCTTGACTGTGACCTTGAAGGTTAGGGGGTTGCTAATTAGAAAAGTAAAGCGGGGTGGGGGTGTGGGGGTGAGGGGAGTGTGTGGGGAGAGTGATTTAGAAAGGTGAAAGTCTATACAAAGTCTACAGAAAGACTTCATGGAATAGAGAAAGTTCAGGAGGGAAAGAGATGAAGCTGGCAAGACAGGTAGGGGCCAGATTAAAGAAGGCCTTACAGACCAAGCTCAGGTTGACATTTCATCTTGTTAAGTCACTGTTAGCCTATGGAAAAGGCGATGCAACAGCAAGTCAAAGCAGCAGTCATTGTTTTGGTTTCTGGAATGCCTTTGCTTTCTGGAAGGATCTACCTCACTAGGCTGGAGTGAACAAGGGGATGCCCTGGGGGTGTAGGTGAGGGTTGCCAACCACAGAAATTGGCCAAGCAAAAGTGAAATGAACCCCAAGATAGGGACACAAGAGGTTTTATCTTTGTTGCTGTTGTTTTTAATGTACTTATAAAGTACTATGTGATTTTTTTTGTTTCTTTTGTATGTTATTCTTCCATGGTATAACCCCTGCTTTCACTGAATTTGATTCCAGTGCCCTGTATCTTGTATATACATTTTTCTAATTTGGGGAGGGGAAGGGAAAAAACAAAATGCTGAAATAAGGATACAGGTTGACCCATTCTAACAATGAGATGTACAGACACTATGTTAAAAACGAACTTTACAACTTAGGGGGGGAGGGAGGAGTTAGAGAGGTAGGGGATGGTAGGGGAGAAACAAAGGAGGGGGTAACAATGCTCGATAGGAAATGTACTCATTATCTTACTCATGTAGACTGTAACCCCTCTATATAGTATCGTTACAATAAAAAATACATATTAAAAAAAAATGAAATTGGCCAAGCCAATCAGTCAATGGGAAAGTTAACTAGGACAGAGAAGAGAGCAGAATTGGAGGCAGGGAAAAGAGTTTACTTGCAGTGAGAGGCAGCACCACTCATAGGCAGCGAACTGCTTGGAGACATGGCTCTGATAGGAGGCGAGATAGTTCACAAAATACTTATGTTTTCCATAGACCTTGGACCTCAACCATTCTATGACAGCAAGATAAGAATGGAAAATAGACTAAATTGCTGTGCTTGGTACACAGGAGGAACTAGGAGGCAGGAGTTGGTAGGAAGGATGCATGCCTGTTCTTACACCTCTTGCCTGTGCTCTGTCCTATTTCATGGTGCCACAGTGTCCCTGCCATGGAATCCCAAGGTTGAGAACCAAAGTTTGAAAACCACTGACTGATCAATGAAGTCTAAACATATAGATGTAGTTATATTTACTTTAGAAAGATTCCTCTCCAATGGAGGTAAGGCTGATAGGAACCAATAAGAAAACAGATATGCTGGGCTGGGAATATGGCTTAGTGGTAGAGTGCTTGTCTAGCATTCATGAAGCCCTGGGTTCTATTTCTCAGTACCACATAAACAGAAAAGCTGGAAGTGGCACCGTGGCTTAAGTGGTAGTGTGTTAGCCTTGAGCAAAAGAAGGTCAGGGACAGTACTCAGGCCCTGAGTTCAAGGCCCCAGACTGGCAAAAAGGAAAAAGAAAAAAAAAAGAAAATACAGATGAAACAGAAACCTTTAGAAAACATCTGCATTCTGCAAAGTA